ATAATTCTACCCAGAACACCACCTGGGATAAATTATCAGACGGAAATGAAAGGGACACTTTCACTTAAGGGGGAACCTGCTCAGAGGAGCAGGGAAGATTTTATGTCAGGAGCTGCTGGCACAGAAACAAAGTCCTGAAAGAAGGGTGGAACTCCTCATAGTTCCTGTGGTAGTAGGCCCAGTGGGAGGAGCTGTGCTTGCAAATGCCCTGGGACTGGGTAGATCACAGTCATGGGTAGAAACTTGAAGAAAGAAGAGTTCCTGCAACAGAGTTCATCAGGAGAAGGTGGGCAGGACAAGCTTACATAGGACCCTGGAGACCAAGGGAGTTTAGATTTTTTTCCTATGGGAATTGGGAAAACAGCCATCAAAGAATTTTAAACAGAATAGTTATAGGATCAGATCTCATTTTTCTTTTTTCTTTTTCTTTTTTTGTACTGGGGATTGAACTCAGGGGCATCCGACCACTGAGCCACTCTCTATTTAAATAAAACACAAAATACCCCAGCCCTATTTTGTATTTTATTTACAGATAGGATCTCACTGAGTTGCTAAGCACCTCACCATTGCCAAAGCTGGCTTTGAACTCAAGATCCTCCTGTCTCAGCCTCCCGAGCTGCTCGGATTACAGGTGTGCACCACCGTGCCCAGCATATGATCTGTATTTTTAAAAGCTCACTCTGCTTGATTTGTGTGCGTGTTTAGGCCAGTGTGGCACACGCTAAGCGAGCACTCTTCCAGGGGCCCACACCCTCAGCCCTCATTCTGCCGGATTTGCGAGAACACATTTCTGTGGGAAAAGAGAGGAAGCTGTGGACAGACTGGACAGCTGCACCCCGCCCCCCCAGGTCAGGGGATGCAGTGGCTGAAGGGGGAAGGGGATGATGACACAAGAGCCATGCTACAGCATCAAAAGCTGTGGGATGTATTTATTTTGGAGTAAAATTAATAAGATTTACTGAAAGTTTTGAAATTATGTAAAGAAAATAAATTAGAACAATGGTGAATGATTGGATGTGGAGTTTGGGAGAGTGACAGGTGATGCCTACATTGGATATTTGAGAGCCCAGATGAAGAGTAGTGTCACAAATTCCCTGAAGGGACTGACCCATGTGGGAAGTCCCAGCTAGAAATCCCCCACCAAGGGACGCCTTAATTTAATGGGGCTAGGTGCAGACAGTGAAAAGTGAGATCCTGTCTGTGGTCATTATTTAACATTTAATATGAGAAGGCTGTCTTCCCTTTCCTGCATGGTGGCATTCAGTATCTCTCTCGGTGGCTCCGAGTCCTGATGAGGTGGCAGGGTGGACACAGCCACAGCCTCCACTTAGCATAGATGTCCGAGGCCACTCATTCAGTGTGACATGAGGTCATTCCAAAGGTCCAGTGTGATCTACCATGGAGTCAGAAGTCCCCCCCCTTATCTCTAGGAGTACCCCAAAGAGGCCACACATCTTTCCTTGCAAACACGCTGTCCCACCGGGAAGCTCCAATGCTCTATTGAACCTGGAAAAGTGACACTGGCTAACATTCATGTCACCTCTTGCCTGATCTTACTCCTCTTGAATGACCCATGAATCAAAAGAAAATCAAAAGATTGATAAGGGCTGGGGATTAACCCAGTGGCAGAGCTTTTGCTTAGTATGCTCAAGATCCTTGTTGGTTCAACTCCAGGATCGGGGGGGGGGGTGGTTAAAAATGAATCAAAAGCTAAGAGCAAGGACCTTGGGGTGAGACAGCCCTGGATTCAAAATCCTGGCATCATGACTTGCTGGCTTCAAAGAGTCTCTTCCAGTTCCTCCTGGGCATAAAATGCCCATCTCTGGGGCACTGGAGGCTCCTGTGAGCCAGTATAGGTAGGGTCTCCTCTTAGCATAATAATACTCAGTAATACTCAGTAATACTAATTCTCAGTAATTGTGCCACCTAACTGAAGAGACAGGGCCATGATGAAACCCTCCCGGGGCAGTGGTCAGCATGTTATCCACCCCCACCCCCAGCGCCTGTACTCCTGCAATGAAGGCAGCTGAAGATGGACAGTGGGAGCCTGTCAAGAGCAGGAAAAGCTTTCAGGAACTGGCCCCGAGGAGGGTGGGAAGAGATTGAGGGCAGGCCCCAGGCAATGCCACGATCAAGTTCTGTTGCTCAGTTACTAGCCCTTCTGGGGATTGTGCTGGGAATCTTTTTCCATCCAGATAGTGACTGAGAACAGGACCCAGGGAGCAGTCATGTTTCAGATGCACCGTGGGTAAGCAGAAGGAGACCCCAAAGAGGTTCAAGCATCAGTTCTCCCACTCACAGGCCTATGAGCTTGTGTTCCTCTTCCCCACTTCCCCTCCCTGGCCAGATGGCCTCTGCGGGGAAATACAGAGGTCCACTGTGCTGCCCGATGCCCATCACATTGTATTCTAAAAATCCAACGCACCACAGGGGAGGATGCTGCCTAGTCTCATCACTAAGTCATGATAAATGTTTGAGATAATGGATAAGTATATTAATTTAATCATCACACAAGGCACTGAAACATCACACTGCACCCCATAAAGATGTGCAATTATTACCTGTCAATTAAGAAACTAATTTCATTTTTTTAAAAATCCCAGGAGGGAAGTACACATCAACATGGTTATTATTCTTAGAAGCAACATCCAAACAGAAGGAGGCAGAGGAAAGACCTGGACATATTAACAGACTGATGGCAATGTCCTGCCCACATTTTGAATGAATTAAAAAAAAAAAATTAAGATTCATGTTTCAGGCAGAGCTTTGGGATCTATGGGGACTTTTCATTGGACAAGAGAAGGCCTCGGGCTGGCTGACTCATCCATGTGAATGCTTGTTTTTCCTATCTGCAAAATGAGAGCAGGATTCCACCTAGGGCACATGGAGTGTGATTAAACATTTACCTCCAAGTGGCCTCTCAGGGATAGCTTTCCGATCAGCATGAGTGGGGAACTTTCCATTGCCTGTACCTGGAAGAACAGAGAAGAGAGATGGTGAATTTCTTATCCAAAGATTATGTCTTCTCTAAATTCTGAAATCTTTTAAGATGGAATAATTTGTTTCAAATAATATAGGAAAATAAAAAGTGGGTGGAAGTATTTATTAGAGAAGGTCAGCCCAAGTTGATGAGTGGGGGAACTTTTCTCTCAACCTATAAAAGTTACTTGTTTTTAAACACATAATATCTAATACCCACTATGTATCCAAAATCCTTTTAAAGATACTATACTTTGTAACCAAGCAATTCCACTCTAGGAAAAGCTGCAATGCAACATAGTGGAAAGAGTTGTGTGATTTAAAAGAACAATAATATGGAAGCCAGGCAAGGTTGTACAGGTCTGTAATCGCAGCTACTCAGGACTCTGAGGGAGGAGAATCTCAAGTTCAAGGCCAGTCTGGGCAACTTAGCAACTCCCTTGTCTCAAAATAAAAAATAAAAAGGGCTAAGGATTTAGCTCAGTGGTTGAGTGCCCCGAGGTTCTGTTTCAATCCTCAGTACAAAAAAAAAAAAAAAAAAAAAAAAAAAGACATGAAAGCAAATAATAACATAAGAAAAAAAATCACATTTCAAATTACAAAGAGATGACTTTTTCTGACACTTTTAAAAGGCTGCTTCAGATTAATAATTCCTACACACACACACACACACACACACACACACAAATAGTCCAATATATAAAAAAGAAATATGTGTATGTGTGCACAGATAAGCAAAATCACAATTTGATAACATATTCTAACAGAAATGAAAATTAATATAACCTTAGTGGAGAGAATTCAGCATTTATATATTGCTATATTGACTCTGCAATGCTGCTTCTAGCAATTTATTCCTTATGCATAAAACAAAAGATGAATGAGGTTATTCACTACGGCATTGTGTAAAAGACCGGAAACAACCTCCAAGCCCAGCAGTGGAGAGTGGCTAAACAAACTGTGATGAAATCCACTCAGCAGAAGCATGAACAGCGACCAGAAGTGACGGCGAGAAATTGAGCATGCCAGTCCAGTCCCAATCCTAGGCCAACCCTGAGAATCCAAAGGGAGCGAACTTGAACTCCCGGCCAATCTTTTCTAAATTCTAAGGAACAGATCTCAGTGACTCCAAAAAGCATTTGATTTGAGAAATTGTAAATTCTGAAGTAGATTTTTGTGTCCTAATATGGCAAGAGGGCCATAATACACTGTTAGAGGAGGAGGGTATGTCACAGAATGGTATTAAGGCATGATCCCATTTGCATCTCAAATTGAAATAGCGTGTATATATATTCAGATATGCATAAAAGAAAACTGGAAGAGATACCAGGCTGTTAAAGTGGTTATTAAGTGCCTTATGGTGTGCTAGGTGGTGAGAACATACAGATAAATAAGAAATCAGATTGGAAATTCCAGGAAGGAAGAGAAATTTTCTATTTTCTCTGCTCTATGCCCAGCGTCTGGCACATAATTCATATTCAATAAATATTTATGGGAGGGGAGGGAAGAAGGAAGAAAAGAAGGAGGGAGGAGAGAAGGATAAATAATAGTCCCTGCCCTCCAATTGCTCACAGTTGCTCACAGCCTGGTGTGGACAAGCCCGTGGGCAGAGTGCAGGGAATTCTGGGAGAAAGCACTCCAAGCTGGCAGGGGCATTGCAGACACTCCCCCTCTTCCTCGACAGCATCCTCCTGTCCGTAGACATCATTTGCAAGTCTCTGGCCTTGGCCTTGAAGTCTTCAAACTTGAAGCTTACCCATCTTCAGGGAGCCCTCTTCTTGAGGACAAATGAGAAGCAGATTACTCAGGCAGAGCGAGGGCAGAAGTCCTGTAATGGACATACCTCCAAGCCGGATCTCAGGGAGCCGGAAGCTCTAGGGAAAGGACCCAGGCTGTCAACTGCCAGGAAAATTGACTTCACATAACTCACAAGTGACACCCAATGTCTCTCTAGGGAACTACATGGAAATCCTAAGTGGAGCGTTGCAGAAGAGCAAAACTAACTGGTCCTTTCCTTTCAGGGTTTTCCAGGGAGTTTGAGGTGGACTAAACGAGGAGGCCAGGCCAAGACTTTGTTAAAACCTCCTCAAAAGTGAGCACAAATCACGATGAACGGTGTTCTTCTCACAGTTGCTGTGTCTCTTCTCTGCCTGGGTGAGCTGCTGATAGTTTTGTTATCTGGGTTCTTCTGATTCTTTTCTGATAGCACTTGCTAAATTACAGTTGCATTCAAATGGCAGAAATGACAAAAGGAAAGGTAAATTTTCAGGAAAAAAAAAAACTTTACTGAGGTTAACATTTGAGCAAAATCCTAGAGTCCAACAGGTCCTGGAAAGAACGGACTCCTCCTCCTCCCAGCTCTGCAGACCTGGACACATTGCTGCAACTTGCTCAGCTTCAGTTTTCTCCCTGGTAAGATGGAGATTATGTCACCTCTTTTGCAAGATTGACAAGCAGATTAAACAAGATTACTAATGTGCACATAATAAAATAGAAAAAGCTCAGTGAGAGCTGGTGTCGTGACTAGTTACATCCTTCCACATTGTGTAGGTGAGAGAACTAAGGTCCAGAAGGGATGGTCAAGGCCATGGCTGGTCAACATGGGATTCAAATCCAGCCCACCTATCTTTAGAGTGCCCACTGTGGACATTTGGTCCATAGTAGCATCAATGTATTGTTGTTAAAACTACACAATTTTTCTGTAGCATCAATGACCTATTCAGGAGCAAGGACAATAAGAAGGTAGAATGCATTCATTGATAATCTACCAATAATTTAATCTTAATGGGAGGGCAACCACGCTAGTAAAAATAACCAATTATTTCCCTCTTTGTAAGTTATAGTGACTTTAAAATACTGTTGTGTTAATAATGGGCTGTTCTACCTACTGAAGTTTATCTATTACCTTTTATCTGCCTGTCATCTATTTAAATGAATGGCTGTTACAGAAGAATACGACCTAAAATTTTTCATCAAGGGCTGGGGTTGTGGCTCAGTGGTAGAGCATTTACCTAGTACATGCGAGGCCCTGGGTTCGATCCTCAACATCACATAAAAATAAATAAAATAAAGGTATTGTGTCCAACTACAACTAAAATTTTTCATCAAAAGAAGGTTATTTTCAGCTCCCATTGTTTAATACTTATCAGTTAGCATCACCCTATATTCATGGAGGGTTTTTTTTTTCTTCCTTCAATCTAAAATGCCTTTTCTCGGTACACATGCACATTAATTTTCCAAATATACAGTGAACTCAAATTGGCTAACTGTGTACATTATGTTGGATCCTTATTTAGCATCTCTAATTCTGGACAACAAAGGCAACATGTGTTTCTTACAAATCAAATTGACAAGCTGTAGCATTTGTAGTGTATGAATTCATCATATGTAAGTCTATCTTATCATAATCACCACAAGTAATTAGTTTGGGTTAAAAAAAATGAACTGCATAAATGCTATGGTTTGAATGTGTCATCCTAAATTAATGTGTTGAACATTTTTCCCCAGTGTGGTTGCCTTGGAAGGTGAGGCCTTTTGGGAGGTGTTCAGGTTATAAGGATGTGATATTAAGGATCTAAGGGAGTAGATTCTTTCTCTTCTGCTCTTCTACCATGTGACGATGCAGTAAGTTGGCCCATCTCATATGTTGGCACCTTCATTTTGAAATTCCCCACCCAGAACTGTGAGAGAATAAACTTCTGTATTTCATAAATTTTTTTAAGACTACAAAATTAACAGTTTTAAAAATGGGCAAAGAAGCCCAACGTGGTGGCACAGGCCTGTTATCCCAGCAGTTTGGAAGCCTGAGACAGGAGAATCACAAGTTCAAAGGCAGACTCAGCAACAGCAAGGTGCTAAGCAATTCAGTGAGACCCTGTCTCTAAATGGGGCTGGTCCAGTGCCCCTGAGTTCAATCCCTAGTACCCCCCACAAGAAAAATGGACAAATAATCTGAAAAAAACATTTACCTAAGATGTACAAATGGTAAATAAACACATGAAAAGATTATCATTATCATTTAGCCATAAGAGAAGTGTAAATCTAACTACAAAGACTAACCTGTTTAGACCCATTAGGATAATCATTTTTTTAAAAAATAGGAAATAATTGTTACAATGATGTGGAAAAATCAGAACCCTCCTACGTGCTGTTGGGAGGTCAAATGATACATCACTGAGGAAAAGAAACCAGACATTCCTCAAAAGCTTAGACATAATGTCACCATGAGACTCAGAAATTCCACTCCTAGGTATAATTCCAAGAGATCTGAAAACGTGCACAAATGTTCATAGCAACATTTCTCTCTGGACTTTCATGACTCTCTGTTCATAACCCCAAAGTGGAAATCACCCACATGCCTATCGACTGATAATGGATAAATAAAATGTGGTCTTTCCATACAAAGATTATTTAGTCATCAAAAGGAATGAAGTGCTGATTCATGCTACAACGTGGATGGTCCATGAAAACATGGTGCTAAATGAGCAGAGGCAAAGTCAGAAGAACCACAGAGCGTAGGATCCCATTTATATAAAATGCTCAAAAGAGGCAACTCTATGAAGATGGACCAATTAGCACTACCTGGGTCTGGAGAGTAGGTACTAGAAGGAAATGGAGAGTGACTGCTCACGGACACAGGCTTTCTTTGGGGAGTGATGAAAATATTCTAAAATTGCTGGAGGTGGTGATTACATAACTCTGAATACTGAAAACCAGTGAATTGTTCAGTTGAAATGAGAGAGCTCACATAAGCATGACTTAACAACAGGGATGCATCCTGAAAACGCCTCGTCAGGCAATTGTGTCACTTGTGAACATGATGGAGTGTATTTATCCAAACCCAGATGCTATAGTGCACAGCGCCCCGGGGCTAGATGGAACAGCCTTTTGCTTCACTGTCCTGTGTGTGGTCGGTGGTTAACTGAAATGTCATCATGCAGCACAAGACTGTGAATTATAACTCAACAAAGCTGTTTTTGCAGAAAAGATTACATTCACAAATAGATTTTAAGGTCTTTGCTGCATAACTTACACACACCAGCTACTCCTTCCTGAGACACAGGCGTAGACTTGAAGTCACGGAAGCAGTGACTAAAGCAATTCCCTCAGGTCCCAGGACAGACCAGCTAGGAGCCAAGGACTGGATACTCAGTGACTCTCTGCATCCCAGCCTTGTACCAGAACCAGCAGGGAGCGAAGGGTGCACAGAAACTATTTGGACACAATGATGGTGGGTCTGTCCCCTAGGTACCTTGCTTAATTGCTCACACCTGTCTCCATGGCTATAGGCAGTGGTTTTACTATAATCAATGAAAGATCTGCATAGGTCATGCTTTCACTAAACAACTCAAATGTGTATAAGGGAGTCGTTGACATCATGTATTTGATTTTGGCTGGAAACACTCCTGTCCTATTTCTGGGACAATTCCCCCAAGGCTCTGGGGAGTTGGAGGAGGGGGGACATGTCTTCACTTTCACTCCTCACTCCCTCTTTACCATCAATTTACGTGCCAGAACCTGAGCCAAACTTAATGCCCAGAACCTTCTCCCCAGAGTCTGAGTGAAATGCCTCAAAGCATCAGAAAAGCAGAAGGGAAAGACCTTGGCTGATCGAGTAAGGAGACTCCTCCTCGCCTCTCCCAAAGGTTCTTCCTTCCTGTGTTAGAAGGCAGGGATGCTCTATCACACTTCTCCAGGGGACAAGATGCACGTAGTCAGTAGTCATCGTTCCTGTGGATGTTGCCCCCAGGAGAGGAAACTCTTGGGGAAGAAAAAAGCATCCTATGTTCATCTCCATCTTCATCAACACGATCCACCCTCTCTGCCTTCCAAGAGCAGCACTGACCATGCTGCCTGAGTCAGTGGGTAATCACTGTCTCCCCAACAGGATTGTAAACCAGTTGAGGACAGGAAGGACAACTTACTTTTCTTGGTATCTTCCACACAAATAGTTAGAAAACAAAACTTTAGACACATGGAGTGGTAGGATGAACAATGACCCCCAAAGATATCTACATCCTAATCCCAGAACCTGTGAATATTACCTTAGATGGGGAAAGAGGTTTTGCAGGACCTTGAGAGGGCAAACTATCATGGGTTATTCACCTGGGCCCGGTGCTATTGAAGCCAAAGATCTGAGATGAAACTCGATTCCTTGCTTCTGCCTGCAGGTAAGACTGGAGTTTCTCTGCTTCTGCTGATGGGTGGGGTCTGCCTAAGGTTGCAGGCCTCAGAGAAGTGTTGCAGCTCTTAACAGTGAGCCAAGCCCCCCAGAGCTGCAACAGACCCTCCAGGAGTTCAACCTCAATTTCTTCTTGTTATGTGAATTCAAAGAATGAAATCCATGGAGCAGGATGAGCCAGTCTAACAGTGAGATCTACTGATGACTACAAAAAGGAACAGCACTCTTTGCAGCCACAGGGCCAGAAAAGACCCAGGTGTTCTTCCTCTGAATACTAGTCTAGGGGTTTATATAGCCCTTGGGTCACAGCCATTGGTCCAAACTTTCGCTAATTAGGGTTTTTAAAAAGGACCAATGCTACAGTCCACATTTATGCTAATTAGGATTCGGAAACACACTAAGGCTATCAGTCAACTCTCAAGTCCCAACTTCCATTCAGGTCTGCCCTACTCCCATGTTTTTTCTTACAGGTCAGGAAGTGGGAGATTGAGGTCATGGGATGGTCTGTGTTTGCAGGTTCCAGGCTGCAGGACTGTACAAGCTATGCACAGACCTGGCCACCAAAGGGTGACAGGTTCGTGTGCCTTGGCCTTCAGCAACTGGCCCGCCTGCCGAGTTTGCATAGTGGGCTCCATGCAGCCCAGGCCATGCTTGCCCCTGTGCTGGACCCTTCAGGCCACCATTCTGGGGCTCCATTGCCGGGCTGCTCCACTGCTTCTCGGCAGGGAACAGTAGGCCAGCTGCAGGCTTGGCAGCCAGGGAGCCTGTCACAATCACAAGGATTGCAAGAGGAAGGAAGGCTGCTCAGAGTCAGAGGAGGTGTGACAGTGCTTATGATGTGGGACCACAAGCCAAGGAATTGAGGCAGCCTTTAGAAGCCAGAAAAGGCAAGGAAATACATTTATTGTCCCAGAGCTTCCAGAAGGAACACAGCCCTGCCAAAGGTTTGGACCTCTGATCTCTGGAGCTGTAAGAAAATAAATATGAGTTGTTTTAAATCATGAAGTACGTGATAATTTGTTATGGTGGCAGCAATCAGACATAAATACACATGGTCCCTTCTTCTTCTCCCTCCTCCTCCTCCTCATCATCATGGTGAATACTGATTGAGTTTGCTGATACAGTCTTCATTAAAATGAGTGACTGCAAGTAACAGTTGTTACCCTTATTTTACAGATGAGGAAACAGATTCAGAGAGGCTACATCATGGAAATACAGTTGCAAGCAGAAGAAAATAAGTCTAGCTAAAGCAAGCCAGAAAGCTGGGGATTGTGGGGAGGGCTAACCACATAACTGTCCATGACTCTCAGGTCCCCCAGTACACCTTTCCTTTGAGCATCTACTCTTGTTAGTGAAATATTTGTTGAGTGCCTACTGCAAGCCAAGCACTGTGCTAAGTGCTGAGGAAGCAAAAACCCAGACAGAATTCCTGCTCATGTGATGCCTGATGCCCACAGCCAAGGGCGAAGGCAAAGCCCTCTAGTCGTCACCCTGAAAGAGAGGCAACTCAGCTGCGCTGAGGACTATGAACCAGAAATGGCGTGAACACAAATGACAGGCAGCAGAGGTGAAGTGACACATGAGCAGCAAGCCAGGGTCACTGGGTATTCAGAGCTGGAGGGAGAAGGTCACCACCTCCTTGCTGGTGTCTCAGATACATGTATGGTTTCATTCCCTCTTGATCTCCTGGCCCCATATGTAGTACTGCTACTGGGAAGATCGTACAGCCATACCACGTGGGCTTCCAGAGACACCCAGGCTGCTTTGGATGACATTCTGTTATTTTTTTTCACTGTAGTAAGATAGGTAGGTAAGTAGATAAATATTTATATGTATATGTCTTATGTAATATATATATGCACAAATATATGTATATAAAATACAACAGATACAATTATGTACACAAAAAGTATTTGATACAATGTATGATGATTATTATTTTTTAATATTTATTTTTTAGTTGTAGTTGGACACATTACCTTTATTTTATTTATTTTTATGTGGTGGTAAGGATTGAACCCAGGGCCTTGCACATGCTAGGCAAACACTCTACTGCTGAGCTACAACCCCCACCCAAATGATTATTAAATATGCATATAATATAAAGATGTATATAATTATATCTGTTATATTTTACTAACATTATATGCACATACTATACAATGTGTTAATATATAACATGTATACATTATATAAAACCATATGTGTATATTATACATATCATGTATATATGCACATATAACATGTATATTGTATAAAATATGTAATATGTATATGTTGCATATATAACATGTATATATTACGTATACATATGTAGATTGCATGCAGATATAAGTATATAACATATATTTATATCATTATATTATATGTATAACATGTGTATGCATATATAATATATGCACGTGTAATATGAGTATATATTATGTGCACATTATATGTATATGTGTACATATCCTGTGCATATTATATGTATATATGTCTACATATAAACAAAATATGCCACTTTAATCTTTTCCTTTTTTCTTTTTGGCAGTAATGGGAATGGAACTCAGTGCCTTGCACATGCTAGGTGAGTGCTCTACCATCGAACTATACCCCCAATCCCATTTTGGCCATTTCTTTTTTTTTTTAATATTTTATTTTTTGGTTATAGATGGACACAATATCTTTATTTTATTTTTATTTGGTGCTGAGGATCAAACCCAGGACCTCGCATGTGCTAGACGAGTGCTCTACTGCTGAGCCACAACCCAGCCCCATTTTGGCCATTTCTAAGTGTACAATTTGGTGGCATTAATTACAGTCACAATGTTGTATAACCATCCCCACTATTTTCAGAATTCTTCATCACCCCAAACCCATTAGACTCCAAACCCACTCAAAGACTTCCTGTCCCACTCTCCCTCCAGCCCATGTAACCCCTAATCTCCTTTCTCTATGAATGCACCTGTCCTAGGTGCCTCGTGACACGTGGAGTCATGTGAAGTGTGCTTTGGGGTCTGGTTTACTTCACTCAACACAGGGTTTTCAAGGCTCATCCCTGCCGGAGCAGGTGGGGGAACGTGATCCTTGGTTAAGGCCCAGGAGTATCTCATGGTCTGGAGGATGACTGCATGGCCTCATCCGCTCAGGTGCAGTGCTGGTTCCAGCTTGGGACAAGTCCCTCTGCTTGTTTCTTCTCCAGATTCCCCATCTGTAAATGGGAACATTTCTCCTTTTTTCCAGATGCTTTTATTGGTGTATTATAATTATATATAGTAGTGAGATTTGTTGTCACATATTTGTACATGCACACGATAATGTAATTTGGTCAATTTCAAAAAAAAAAAAAGGGAACATTTCTTAAAAGCAAGGAACTGCACAGAAGCCAAGGCTGGCTGATGGTATTTTAAGGCCATGGTGTAGATGGAGCAGAAGAGAATGAGATATGGAGTTCCAGGTATAAGCAAGGCACCACCTGCCCAAACACCTCCTACAAAACCACCATCAGAGGCCTGCATTTCTCCAGCCCAGGGCTGAGGCTAGGAGGCCAATCCTCCCAGGATAAGCAAGCAGTGGAGTTGGCTAAAGCAAGGCTGAGGCAGGAGGATCACAAGTTCAAGGCCAGCATGGAGAACTTATAAGACCCTGTCTCAAATAAAAATAAAAGGGCTGGAGATGTGGCTTAGTAGTACAGTGCCCCTGTGTTCAATTCCCAATATTAAAAGAAGAAACAGGAGGAGAATTAGAGGTGGGGGAAGAAGGAGAAGGGAAAGGAAAAGAAAAGAAGGGGCTTAGCCAGGTGTGGTGGTGCATGCCTGTAATCCCAGAGGCTTGGGAGGCTGAGGTAGGAGGATTGCAAATTCAAAACCAGTCTCAGCAACAGTGAGGTGCTAAGCAACTCAGTGAGACCCTGGGGATGTGGTCGAGTGCCCCTGAGTTCAATCCCTGGTACCAAACAAACAAATAATCAAAAAAAGGGGGCTAAAGCAGGCTGCTGTTAGGAAAGCAATACAAGCCTGAGGCTCCTGTGAGGCCTTGGGAGTGGCCATGGCCATGGCCGTGGCCGTGACTGTGGAGCATTGGAAAGAGCACACTCCTGTCAGCTCCCATCCTTGCCAAATACGAGGGCCCAATCCTGTCAGAGCTTTCTATTTGTTAAAAGAAACTGGAAGCCTGGATTTTCGTGTGAATTGGAGTGATTTTCAAATGCTGACAATTAATTCTTAGACTGTTTAACTTGATAAAAAAAATAATATTAACAATACAAAAACTAGGCCTGGTGGCCACATCTGACACAAAGACAACCAGTTGGTGGTCTTTCTGTCTTAGCCCATTATTTTGAAAAGAGGGGAGATGCAGGCACTCTTCTCCTTGCCCTCACCGGACCAAAAGCACGTGGTAGAGGGCAAAGCTCACAGGTAAAGTGAAGACCCCTTTCTCCTAATTTCCTGAGAAGCCTCAGTACATCACTTTCCCACCCTGAACCTCAGGATCCTCCTCATCTGTGGAATGAGGGAGAGACTACATGTCCTGTAGAGTCTCTTTCATCTCTGATATTTTAAAATTTGACCTCCTTTGGGGCTGGTTGGCTCAGTGGTAGAGCACTCACCTAGCACGTGTGAGGCCCTGGGTCTGATCCTCAGCACCACATTAAAAACAAATAATCAAAAATAAAGGTATTGTGTACAATTAAAAAATAAATAATTTTTTTTTTTAAAAAGTGGAATTTTTTTTAAAAAAATTTTACCTCCTTTAAGGCTCTGCCCCAGAGGGAACCCAGCCAACAACTGCTTGGGAATTTGTGGGTACAGCAGAAGTATATTTTTAATTGACAAATAAGAATTATATACATTTATGGCATATTATGTTTTGATATATGTACACACTGCAGAATGAGCCAATCAAGCTAATTAACATGTCCATCTCCTTACACATTTTTGGTTGATTTTTTTTCTTTTTCATTATAATCTTTTTTTTTTTCAGTATTGAGACTTGAACCCACAGCCTCACACATGCTAGGCAAACGTTCTACCACCCAGCCCCATTCGTTTTCATGGTAGTAAAATATGCACATGGTTTGCCATTAGTGACATTCAGCACACTCTTATGTTGTGTAACCTTCTCCACAGTCTAGTTTCAGAATATTTTCATCACCCTCAACAATCTGTCTCTCATGTTCCCAAGTTTCAGGGGGAAAAAAAAAGACCCTCTTATCTGATTCAGAAATATGTTATCTTGTGGAAATATCAAACCCTCTTGCAGATGGGTTGCAGGAGAGAGATGCATCTCATCAGAGCAGATGAGAAGTCAGCGCCTCAAGGACATGCCTCAAGGACATACCACAGGGCGTTTGATGCTCATGGTTCTGCTCTGCTGTGATCACAAAGGGGACTCCGTGTCAGCTGGGCACAGACAGAAAGACCCTTGCTACTCTGGGCCCATCTATTCTTTTCCACTCTGGTAAAAAGCAATTCATTCTAATAACCCACATGGCAGTTCCCCTCCCTGACCTACCCCACAGCCAGGACAAGATCCAAGAAGTCTTTGAAAAGGGATGTATATTCATGAGTCCCTGAGGACTTGATTTTGGGGAACCCTTGCCTGTACCCCTTGACCAGCTGGTGACATCAAAGCCCTGCACATGCTGGCTGGGGGTGTGGCCCCACAGCGGGGTGCTCATAAGTATCCCAAGTAGATGGGGTTCCATGCAAGAGGCCCTGGGTCTGATCCTCAGCACTACAAGAAAATAAAAATAAAAACAAAACCCTACACATTATGACCACAGATGATCCAAGCCCCATTCTCATTAGCAGGAGGGTAGGAACAGCCAGCCAGCCACGCCTCCTTCCTCTCCCCAGGGTATGTGTGCAGCCAGATCCAGGGTGAACTGAGAAAACAGGGACACCAGAGCAAGCTTGTTCGTTATGCTAATTGTGTCCAGTGGAAAGGCCAACCCTCTTCCGAAATGATGTTATTAGGTTGTATGTGCTCTTTCTTTTAGGAAATGACACTGGAAGGAGATGCAACATTTGGGTCTTGTTTTTTTTTTTTTTTAATTTGGCAAAATGAAAAATGACTTTGTTCCTCACCTAAAATTTTGGAAGATTCACTGATCTGTGAAATTAAATTCGGTGGAAACACCAGCCTATTTGTGATGAAATGCATCCCCTGAGCTGACTGGGGAGGGGACCTGTGGTTCATGGTGCTGCGCAGGCAGGACAGTAGCACTGGCCTCTCCTTTCCATGGTCAGTTATCAAGCAGGTCAGCGCTGTAAAAAGTGAGGATGTTAAATAAACCCTCACACCCATCACTCAGCCTCCAAAATGGTCACCCAAGGGCCATGTTCACATTATCCTCACCACCACCCCTACACCATTTGGAAGCAAAACCCAGATGTCACATGGTCCCCACAGTAAGTATTTCAAGATAAATCTCCAAAAGCTAAGAAACATAACTGGAATTTGATATTATACCAATAATTTCTTCTTTTTTTTTGGGGGGGGGGCGTACTAGGCATTAAACCCAGGGGTGCTTAATATGGACCCACATCCCCAGCCCTTTTTATTTTTTATCTAGAGACAGGGTCTTGCTGTAGGGCCTAGCTAAGTTGCTGAGGCTGGCTTTGAACTTGTGATCCTCCTCCTTCAACCTCCAGAGCTACTGGAATTACAGGCATGTGCCACTGCACTTAGCCTACAATAATTTATTTTTCTTTTCTTTTTTATTTTTTTTTTGAGAGGAGAGAGAGAGAGAATTTTTTAATATTTATTTTTCAGTTTTCGGTGGACACAACATCTTTATTTTATTTTATTTGGTGCTGAGGATCGAACCTAGCACCCCACGCATGCCAGGCGAGCCTGTTACCACTTGAGCCACATCCCCAGCCCTAATTTCTTTTTTTTTTAATATTTTTAGTTGTAGATGGACATAATACCTTTCTTTTGTTCATTTAGTTTTATGTGGTGCTGGGGATCAAACCCAGTGCCTTACACATGCTGGGAAAGTACTCTTATCACTGAATTATAACCCCAGCCTCCAATAATTTCTTAATATCACCAAATACCCTATTAGGATTTGGGGGTTTTATTTGTTTTTGCAGTAGTAAGGATGAACCCAGGGCTCATAAATGCTAGGCAAGTGGTTTACTATTGAGCTACACACACAGTTCTTTTTATTTCTCATTTTGAGACAGGGTCATGTTGAGTTATCCAGGTTAACCTCAAACTTGGGGTCCTCCTGCCTCAGTATCCCAAGTAGGTGGGGTTCCATATGTGTGCCACCATACCCAGCTCTGGTTAGGATCTAAATTTTCTTTCTCTCTCTCTTGTCTATCAGTTTGTTCAAATCAGTATCTAAACAAGATGCACCCATTGCAATCAGTAGATATGCTTCTAAGTCTTTTCATCCATGGTTCTTTCTTCTCTTCATCTGTTTCCCCTCCCTCACATTTATCTGTTGAGGCACTGGGTGATTATAGTCACTTTGCACAACCCACAGTCCTCTGCACTTCCTATGGATGGGTAGTTACATCAGTAGTCTTATTTATATTTGGGTTCAATTTTTTTTTATTTTTTTATTTTTTAGTA